TCTCACCTCTGGGGGCAAGATGTTCCAAAGGGCGGGGGCTACAGCAGAGAAGGCCCGCTTTCTGGACCCCGTTAATCGGAGTTCTTTAACCGAGGGGGTCCGGAGCATACCCTTTCTGTAAGATCGGGTGGGACAGGTTGAAATTGTGGGGGCAAGGCGGTCCCTCAGGTAGCCTGACCCCATGCCATGTAGGGCTTTAAAGTTGATAACCAACACCTCGAATTGGACCCAGAAGCAAACTAGTACCCAGTGCAGCTCACGGAGCAAAGGTGTTATATGGGTCCTTCGGGCCCCAAAAATTGCTCATGCAGCTGCATTCTGGACCAGCTGAAGCTTCCGGATACTCTTCAAGCCCCATGTAGAGCGCATTGTAGTAGTCTATCTGGGAGATAACAAGGCATGAGTGACCGTTCGAAGGGCATCCCGATCCAGGAAAGGGCGTAACTGGTGCACAACCGGAAGCTGTGCAAAAGCCCTCCTGGCCATGGCTGCCACCTGCTCTTTGAGCAGGAGCTGTGAGTCCAGGAGGACCCCCAAATTACGCACTGGGTCTGTCTGGGGCAGTGCTACCCCATCCAGCACCAACGATGACAACGTCCCGGATACAGGGGAGCCATTAACCCACAGCCACTCCGTCTTACCAGGTAATGGCATGATCTCTTTAATGCATCAATTCAGGAAGAAGAAGAAGAACTAGAAAAAGAATAGTAAATTTAAATTGATCCAAAATGGGTGGGAGTGTTCATTGGGAGGTGTGATTTTGTGAATGAGATGGATTTTACAATCCTGGAAGGATTAGACTCCCCACAAAAAGATAGATACACAGTTTGTACTGGTCTGAGACCACAGTAAAGACTGACTTTATTTTTAATAGTAATTTTATTAAAAATTACAATAAAAATAATACAAACTAAAAGATAAAGAATAAAAGAAAAAACAGAAAAAATAGAAAGAAAAATAGAAAAGAAATAAAAATAAGAATATAGTAAAGAAAAAGAAAAGAAATATATAAAGAAAGACTTCCCCCTTCATCACAAGTATAAACAATTTTAGTAACTTAGCACCTTCTCTTAAAATACATCTCTTCTTCCCATATCCCATCTCTTATCTATAAACAAATCCTTAAAGCCTTGTCATTTCAGTCCTGATATCAGCAAAAGTCCATTAAGGGTTACCAGAGATAATGACATATATATATTAACCTGTATCAAATAAACCAAGTTTATATTCATTTTACTTCTAATAATCTTGATCTTCAGTCCCTTCAAATAATTTCCTACAATTTGATTTCTTTGTCCCTTCTCACAAAATTCTTTGAAGTTTTAACAAGCATCTTTTGTAAATCCAATATAGAAAAATTATCCAGTCACTCTCTTGGTTTGTTATTTGTACATCCCTTTTAATTATTAAGATATCAGCCAGTTTCTTTTGTATGTCTAGTGTAACATCGTTTTCCATGTCATTCTCATAGCCTGTCGTTTTTAAATCCACTTTCAAATCAGTCTCAATCTTGTCAGGTAAAACTTGTTTCCCTTCCATAACATCTTTTAAACACAGTCTATTTATAGAGGCAGATGCTCTTAAAATTAACTTCTGGGTCCCCTGTTTAAAAATATCCTTCAAGGGTACCAATGTTAAAGTATTTTGCTTCATTCTGTATTTGTAAGTCAAGTCTCAGTGTCCTTGTCCCTTAATTGTAACCTTTAGTTATTTCTAGTTCCCTCTAGTGTCCAATTTTTAATGTCTTATGGTTTTTTTAAAATAATTCAAAACAAAAGTATTTTCCCACAGGAAGGATTCTTTATAATAAATTCCAAAATCTTATTTCAAATTTATCTGGACCCTTAGTCATTTGTAATTTTCTAAAATCAAAGTTTTAATCACCCTGCTGTTTATTCAAAATATATACATGTTTCAAGTCCTTTAAAACTTGTAATCTGTGCAAGTGTACTTATGATACTTTACCCCATGGCGACGGATGAGCTCACCCAGTGGCCTCATATAGATGTTAAATAGGAGAGGGGAGAATACCGAACCTTGCAGCATTCCACATAGTAGGGGTCAAGGGCAGGATCTCTCCTTCCCAACTACCACCAGCTGGAATCAGCCCCAGAGAAAGGAGGCTCTGACTCGTGTTCAGTCAAGTTTGTCCCTTGTCAAGCATCTGCAATGTTCAAGATGTCTCTTATCTCACTTCATATCCCTCAACTCTTCCATAAACCATGGGGAGTGCCGGGATCCCTCAGAGGGGAGAGTTTGCATGGGTGTGATCCCATCCAAGGTCTCAGCTGCCCCCTCATTCCAAGCAGTGACCAGGCTTTGGGTAGACCATGCAGCAAACCAGCAGGAACAACCCCCAGCTCCCTCTGGAACCCATCCAGGTCCATTAGTCACCAGGGGCAGACCAATCTAATGAAATAAATGAAACAACCACAACAAGCTCTGTCAGGGCACCAATAGCACATCCAAGGGATTACCGCTTTCAGATGGAAGCTAATTGCATGGTCCCAGCAGATCAGTGAACCTGTGTCTGTTAGCATGATGAACTCATTTTCTAAATATATTTATGCATGTATTTTACACAGATCATAGGACCTCCAGGTCCTCCAGGTCCACACGGTCCGCCAGGACCTATGGTAAGTATTTTCAGACATTTATCTATTGTGTGGTTTAATGAATTAAAGCAATTTATCAGTGTTTCATGTCCTTGAAAGCCTAGAAGTCCACATAAGAAATGCCTAATGTTTTCAGGGGCTACATGGAGCAGAAAAGATGGGGGGGGGGAAGCAAAAAGTTCAAGTGGTATCAAATATTTTTCTAATGAATTATAATATAGATGTACTTGTGAAAGCCATAATTTTGCAACGGTGCTTTTGGCTATATAAATATAAGTAGCAAATATTTTGTAGATAGATCCTATTGATTCGACTTCTGATCTACTTTTTTCACATATATTCAAAATGTTTAGAAAAGATTTTGGAGCTGAAAATTGATAGAAAGTTTTAATTCATTAGACTAGGCTTGGCTTTTGTTAAATAATTAAGAGTTATTATTTAATACATTTTTGCCCAGCCACCCCTCCATAAATCACATACGCAGACACATCCATACGCATATGCACAGAGAGACCCTTCTAATATAGAAATGCTTCCTGTAATTGTTTTTTATTTATTTATTTTTAGGGACCTCATGGACTACCAGGGCCAAAGGTAAGGAATCCAGTCCACAACTAACATCAGTCTCCCAATTCGTTATGCTGTCATTCTCATTAATCATGTTGAGGCATGTAGTTAAAATTTGTCCTTGTCTCATTTTTCTGTGAATTTTTTAAAATATTCTTAAACCTTTAAGCAGCTGCTTAAAATAAAATGTTAAAACATACATAAGGATTTATGGCAATTTCCTGTGTCTGTTCCACATCAATGTAAGCTAAATTAGCTTTCTATGATGTTAATTATGGAGAGCCAGTAAAAAAAAAAAAAAAATCTGGTTGTCTGGTGAAAGTTTCAAACTATGTCATTTGGAACCACCTTACACAAAAGCTTAGAAAAACAGAGGATGAGTGTTTAAGAAGTAAAAGAAATACTTTCTTCCGCACTGTTGTCTTTCAGTCTTCTAATCAAACTCATTTCTTCTCTTAGCCTTATAATATGTTCTTTTGAATTATTTTGCCCATATCTTTGAAAATCTATGTTCCTAATAATCAAAAATCCACAGTTACAGTTCAAAGTATTATTTAAGATACGTGGGAATTTAAATGTACATGCACACACATCACTAAATATTTACCGACTTCAAAAAGATAATTGAAGGACTATGCTGTGAAATAATATGTTGTGCCCTAATGCACTTTAATGCTATTTGAATGTATTTGATGTTTCGTACCCTTTTATGAGAATGCATCTTTATCATGACTATAGCTTTATATTATTTTATTTTGAAAAGAATCAAATAAGCATTGGAGATACAGATATATTATACTTTAGAGCCATGGCTCTTCCACTTTGGTTGTAGACCTTTTCTTTCTCCTTAATGGAATCAGGTCTTTCTGGGAATCTCCAAATATAATCTTCCACAGTTCTTGTTTTTACAGATTTAGTAGCACAGTCTTATTTATGCCTACTAAAAAAATCCAAATAAATTGTGTGCCACTTTTTCAGAATCTGGAAACCATAAAAATCCATGGTCAAAGGCTATAAATTAGACAAAAATAAATGTACGCATGGTTTCTCTTTAGAACTGCCATTCAATTCTGTTTAGCAGGGTTAGTGAATTATTTTTACATTTCAATTCTCTGTAAGAATTGGGGGAAATTCACTGGTAATTACCCTGATTTTTTAAAATTTTATAAGCATGTTAGTACTTATCAGTTAGAAATCTCTAGCTTTTTCAGAGTAAAGGAATTTTCTTATGTAATTCTCTAAATTTGTTTATATATTTATCTGTACAAGTATTATAATACATTCAAAAAATACAGGGCCACGATTTCTTTGCTTGAGAACTATAATAAGTACGTTTGCCATGAGGACCCTAACTTCTTAGGCCATTACAAAAACTTAAATAAGGTTGTTTGAACACTAGTGTGGACAATATGGCCATATGGTAGCATGAAGACCCTTACAAGGAAACTGTCTTATGCAGAGCAAGTGAGCGTTCCTCAACCTGCTGCTCTCCAAATGTTTTGAAACTACAACCCTCAAAATTCTCAGCCAGCAAGGCAAATGCTAGGAATTTTGAAAGTTGCAAGTCATAATATATGTGAAGAATACCATACTTGAGCAAAGCTATCTGAGAGATCATCTCCCATTTTTTTAAATATAACTTATCAGGGAATTTCAGAAGCACCAAAATCTTAACAACTTTGATTGGCAGTAAATGGTTAATTCCTTTTGGGGTAATTGTTATATTATGGTTCATTAAAAAGGACAACCCAATTATCACAATCTTCCTCTGTTTAACCGAACATAGCCATGCTTAAAGGTTTGGAATATCTTTCCATGAAATAATGCATATTTCAGTTTGCTATGAGAAGAAAAACCAGTTAAGGACATGTAAAAAAAAAAAAAGTTTGCAATTCTGATTGGTCAAATCACGGTCAAATTTTTACGGTTTGGTTAGCTTTGTTGAAAGCCTGCAAGATTATGAATGGGCTTGGAATACATTTGCTATAAGCAAGATGACACTAAAATCATAAGGATCCAAATTATTCAGAAACATTTCAAGACGGAAGATTCAAACGTGCAAGATTATGATTATAGTTTTATGCTATCTACTTTTATGCTAATGTGAATCATGACTATTGCTGTACATAATTTTTCATGTTCTAGCAATGAGGAGATTATCTATTTTAATAAACATAACCACTTGTGTTGAAAAACTGGATTTATACTCATATCCTTGACTGGCTCTCTTCTGTCCCAGCTTGAGTAACCCTGTCAGCATCTCCACAAAATAGCATTTATACTTTTACATTTAGGGTGAACCAGGGTTAAATGGTCTTAAAGGATTGAAGGGTGAACCAGGTCACAAGGGTGACAGAGGGCCCCTTGGTCTCCCCGTAAGTAAAATACTTCCATTTCAGTGCAAATTACAAACTTCTCATTCTACTTTCAGCCCAAAACTCTGGTTTACTCAATAGCCAATATAATATATGTTGGAGTAGAGTATGTCTCTTTTTTTTTAATCTAGTCTGATCCTTTATCATCCCGTAGCACATTGTTAGTTGTTTTTATGTTGTTATTTATTTGTCAGTTGGCAACATCAATTAAAAATTGTAATCTCCCCATATTAATTATGCCATTATTTAAATGTTGTGTGATGTTTCGTTTAAATATTAACCGTCGTGCACAGAAAGACTACCCAGATGCTAACTGTAGCTTTTTGTTTAAAGTGAGTGGCTGTGTATAATATAGATATGAAGCGTTTAAGGTTAATATGCTAGGTAAAAAGTTTATGTAATGAAGTCTTTTTCATTTGCTTGTAGGCAGAATATCTTCTATGATTTAGCTATTTTTGGAATTGTTCTCCTTGGTGTAGTACCATTTCCTTTGTAGTCAGTGAAGATCATTAAAATCCCTATTTTGGTTTCTGGAAATGCTAAGATTTCCTAAATACAAACAATGTAATTCTTCATATCAGTGCAAAATGTACTTTCTGAAATGAAAAACAGACAAAAGTAAAATGACCAAGAAAAATCTATTCAGAAGGGACATTCAAGTCCTTTCAAATCCATTGTAGAAATTCAGCAAGTGCTTAACTCTGTTCTGTTAAAATCAGTGGAAATAAAATGCCTAACTTTGCTTGATCAAGGTGTGAAAATACTTAAGGGCCGCCATATACATAAATTCTACCAAATGAAGCCATCTGCCATCTTTAATTCCCTTTGGTATGTGTGCGACAGTAGCAGATTTATCTTGTTCATGTAATATCCACCAGGGATCATATAACTCTCAGCAATACCAACTGAGAGTTGCAAATTTGACAGCTATTTCATACACGGTGGCCAAATTTCATGGTTATTGAAGTGATTGGTAAAAGAGCTCTGATTTTAATGGTCTTCCATACACCGATTAGTACAAACTATCAGTAATACAAAGCACTGCATTAGGAATTTATTACAGATTGTCGTCCAGTGAGAAAGCAGAATATTACTTAATATTTTAAAATATTTTATGGACTTAAGTCTGTTATCATGGAACATATATTTAATTTCTGATGCACTATTGCTTTCTTAGTGTTTTAGTTCTGGTTATGAAAATATAGTTATACCCTTGTTTTGCTTGAGTTTCTCTTATTAACTTTTAAATAAAGAATGTGTATATTAAAGATCAACAAACTCTATAGCAAGTAAACTTTGTAGCACTAATGCATCTAGGGACTAATTCTGATCTCATCAAACAATTTCCTAGGTAGTAGGACTACCTTTATATAGCCTGTAGCAAAAGTGAAATCACAAACTCTTCACGTTGTGTATAAATTATAACTAACCTAATGCAGTAGTGTGGTACTTATTCCTGTTACACTGTGTAATCTGTGTATAAAAAAGAAGTTGTACTTGTTTATCACCACAGTTACTAATCTCACATTCTTGTCATTCGTATTCTCCCTGTCATCTGTGCTTCCACTTAACCATACAGGGAGCATCTGGCTTAGATGGAAAGCCAGGACCCCGGGTGAGTCCTTCATGTTCCTATTACATCCTCCCAAATTACATGTTTCCCAGCAGATACATCAGCTGGTTTTCCATGTAGTGCTATCCTGCTTCTGTTGCTACAGTACTGACTAGGCTATGTATACGTTGATGTTCAGTGGACGAATTCTTGATAATGTTGGGCTAGAAATGTGGAATATGATGGGCTACCAACCTTGGTAATGATAACTTAGCAATATTATATCATCATTTTCCCAGAGGGGAATGTTGGCTGCAACTAACTTTATAACCTTATACTATATATAAGGTTATAGATAGAGAGCCCATGTGCTCATGTCCATGACAAATGATATGACATAAGATCAAGCTACAATATAATCATGGGAGTCACAATTTAAATATGTCCACCCTTCTCTTTGTCAGCTGACATTAATCTGACAACTATAACTTGGTTTAAAGAAACACAAAACCCATGTTGGAAAATTGTTATTTGATTTGGGTGTTTGATATGGCCTTTTCCCCCTCACATTAGTTGGTGTTCTCCCTATAGTTTCAGCAAAAGAAGTCTAAAATTTGCGATGCTCAGGGCAAGCAGAGTTACTCATAAAGTTGGAAGATACTACAGTTCCATGTTGAAGCGCTACTGCTATTTGAAACAAATTATTCAGTTTTCCAAGAGAGTAACAGGATAGCTTAGTTGAAAATGTAAAATGTCTTCTTTCAGGCATGCCATCTATCCTTGTGAGTCTTTATGTGAATTCTGCATGGGTTTTTCTTGTGTTAACTCCCTTTGTTTAACCCTTTAACTCCTCCTAGAAAAAAATGCCTCTACATTTTAAATCTTATATAAATCTAAACAATCAAGTAAAGATTCAGAAGGTAGAAAAAAGCACCACAGAGCTTTAAAGAGTACAAGTGGGAATTTTGACTCTGATCAAGCAACAAGAGATTTGGAACCTTGACAAATGAGTCATCATTCTAATCCGTGTTCTCAATTGTTGACATGAAACTCAACTCTAATTAGGACTGTCATGAAATATAAAGCTTAATTTAGGAATTTTCAACCTTTTTTCAGATCATGTTTTATTACTCTTTTAGGGTATGGATGGTCCCACTGGTGCACATGGCCCTGCAGGTCCAAAGGGAGACAGAGTGAGTGCATGTCTGAGATGTTCAAATATACCTTAATAGAATTGTATTTTAAGCAATATATATATTCCCTGAAAAAAAGTATATTCCCTGAAAAAAAGTATCTGTTCAAATTCCTTTCAAGGCTGAAATACACAATGGCTGCATTCACACAAGATGCCTAACTTGATTACTGAATTTTCCCATGTTCTAGGGTCACACAATACTTTGAGCAACAAACCAGCTAAAAGCACTGGGTTTTCACACACAAAGACATACAAAGATATGATTATCATGACCATGATGATAACAATGATTACAAAACTCTATATGCTATCTAATCTTCTGATTCTTACACAAATTAATCTGTTGTGGCTTTATCCTTTTATCCTGCTGATCTATTCTATTTGTAGCACATGCTCAAGCACCAGAATGTCTTCAAAGGTGTTAATAGATATTTGTTTTATTTGCTGCACAATTAAATGCTGTGTTTTTATTTTGTTTTATCAGAGATACTTGTATTGTTCTTTTGGTACTCAGGGCTCCCTCAGGAGAGAGAGTAGTATACTAATAAAATATGTTATTATGAATAATGTTAATACTTAAGGGTTTTATGATATGGGGAGACCTAATGATGCAAAATGTATATTTGCCTTTAGAGATGAATGACAGGAGGTGAGCATGGACCTATCACTATCTCTCATTTTAATCTACCCAAACCTTCTTTGTAATAGTAATTTTATTAAAAATTACAACTACAATGATAAAAAGCGAATGTAAACTAAAAGAAAAAAAAGAAAAAAAGAAGGTGCAGAAAAGGAAAAGAAAATATAAAATAAATAGAAAAAATAAGAATATAGTAAAAGAAAATAAATATATAAAGAAATGACTTCCCCCTTCATCACAAGTATAAACAATTTTA